CCACAGGTAACTAACTTTTGCTTTTGGGTGACTGGAAAAACTTACTTTTTTGATATAGGCTTATGAAGTACTGCCAGGCACCCAGGATTTCATGGTTAAGAACCTTTTGGCTCCTCGTAACTTTTCTTAGACCACAGCCTTGTATCATTGACATTATTGGTGTGGTTTTACTCATCAAATGCTATAGAGACTTTCCTTAATTTTGTATTTTAATGGTTGATTCCTCACTAAAACTACAGTGCCCTCTTCTTTCACTACAATCAGGGTCACAACCGTTTGTCAAAAACATTTATTCAGGACGGTAGACTAAAAACATCCAAGAAACCTTCTGCCATTACATTTTTAATGTTTTTCATACCTGATCATCTAGAGAAGCATTCCACTCTTGCAACATGTCTTTAATTCTTGTTGCACTTAATGAGCCTCCAGTGTCAATGTAGAGAACATTCTTCTTTGTTTCCATAGCAGTGAACATGGCAATGCCCATGCAGATCTGATAAAGATTAACTACTTATTAACTGAGAGTGAGGTCTTTATGGGAAAATCTCAAACCGAGACCTGGCTGTACTGACCGAGCTATAGTGAGGTCAGTACAGGAAAGCCAAGGTTTGAGATTTTTTCGTAAAGACTGAACATTCAAGGTTAATAAGTTGTTTATTATATGGCTTTTTGTTTTGGTTTTGCAGGACCATAATTGGCCTGTGGGCATTACCGGAGTATAATGCCCTACAATTGGCTAATCAGAGCATGTGTTATATCCTTCCACTACAAACACATGCCATGTAATAAAAAGAAGTAATGCATGTAACTAAACAATATTTCCAGTGCATTACATATGTTTTCATTTTCTTTGGTACGATGAGCAGTACATGTATCAGCACAGCTAGGAAGTGCATGGATAGTTATAGTTGAAAAGAAATGTCAAACACAGCAATTCAGAGAATGATGAACATTAAAAAAGTTTACCCATTTAAGCATGTAACTTTCCACAAAATCACTGGAATAATTTGCCAAGATTCTTAAGATTCTTTAATGTGTATTACCTGAGACTTGCCAACACCTGCAGATCCAACAATTTCAGTCAGCTCCCCAGTGTACAAACCTCCATCAAGTAGTTCATCTAAACTAAATGCAAAATCAAAAAATATTATGAGATACTGTTCAACACATCTATTGATAATTAAAGTAGCAGGACCACTTGAGCAATAACTTACAATCAAAAGATGCATCATTAATTAATAGGTACAAGTGATGTTTTAAAGTATGCTAAGGCAGTTTGAGTTCTTTCAAAACATTATTTCGGGATTGAATGATAAAATTCATTCATATTCACCAAATCAATGAAAATAATAATTAAGAATCAAGTTTCTATTCTACATCTCACAGACATCACTAAATAAACCATGACCATTTCAAAAGGTAAGAGTCAGAAATCCTTGGCTAGTCTTTTAGCAATTAAGGCTCGGGTCAACTTCAGATAGATGTTCAGAAGTCTGCAGATGGAATATTAATGTCCCCAGAAGTCTTGGGTGCACTTCAGAAATCTTTGGAAGACTCCAAGTCAAACTTGAAAAGCTTAAATTAGAAATTTTGAATCAACAGCAGATGTTTTTGGGTTTGGGTGATGTACATATATATACCTGCCTACTTCCACACCTTAGGGTTATGTCAAAACAAAGTTATGAACTACATGATCTTGGTCCCTACTCATGTCTATGAAGCAATTTCTCACAATTTGCGCCTGAACTGTGGCATCTTTCCCAAAAGTATGTAACCTTGAACCAATTAATGAAAGAAAAGTAAAGTTCATGTGATGATGATGGCAATACTCTTCCTCCAATAAAATCTCCAATTTCAACCCAGGCTTTTAGGGCAAAAGTGCTTGTGATGGTGTTAGTTTGAGTGAAATTCATCTTGGGGCTAATGTTCAAAACTTTGAACAATCAGAAATCTTTGAAATGCCTTTGGAAAGCTTCAGGCATCTTTGGATATGTTCCTGGTTCTCTGACGATAAAACTCTCTTGCCAGGGACTTGGAAAAAGGTGGTAGTTATATGTACATCAATTTCTGTTTCCATCGACATATAAGGGTCCTACTCATACTTTGCACAATTTGGGATTAAATGTACAGCTCTCCACCAATCAGAATTGAGTAATTTTGCTGAGTGTTGTAATGACCTTTGCATATTTGAAAACCAACTCGTTAGCTTTTCAACAGTTTGGAATCTTTCTAGTTTACTTAATAATTCAAATCACACTTGTCTTAACAATGCAGTATCAATAAATCACACTTACTTATCACATCCTGTTTTTTAAAAGAAAGGAAAGATAAAGAAATTTTCATTAATTATATTAACAACAACTCTATACTAATTAATGGTACTGCAACTGGTAGGAATACTTTTTTGTCTCCAAAAATGGGAAGATTGATCCATAATTTTTCACTAACCAGTATCTCAGTCTAACAATTATGTCAATAAATAACAGTATTATTTATAATTATTTTACAATAATTTTATAATTATTTCAAAATTTAATATCTTTATTTAAGTGGCAAATGTATGTGGCACTGTTATGTTAATTGGGGACACTGTAAATAAATAAACAAATTAATATTTCAAATAGAACATAAACTATTAACAATCATAACTGGTAGGAGGCTGACCAGTTAGCTATTAACACAACATGGTCAAAGAGTTGAATTCGGGACTGCTGAGAACAAATCCAAATAGCAGTAGGTTGGAGGATTTGAACCAGGGACCTCCAGATTTCAAATCTAGCACCCTACACCACTTGATCATGCCACCTCCTCTCTGCTAACCGAAATATAAACTAGGAGTTATTTTTGAAACAATGAAACTCATTAAAATAAAAAAATTAATATACACTCATCTGTATAGTCTATAAATATCTGTAAGTGTACAATGGACACTTTTGAGAACATTTCGAAAACAACAAATTATTTCAAAGTGCAACAACAACAACAACAACAACAACAACTCAATAATACAACAAAGTAGTTGGGGTAAATTACTTTTTGAGTCTTTCTATTATTTAAAGCAACTGCAACTAATTTGTATTTTATTACAAACTCATAGTCTGAAAAATCCCCTAGTCTTCAGCTCTAACAACTTTGTTAATTTAACTAAATCATTATTTGTTTGAGTGAAAACTATTGCAAGTAAACCATAACTGTTAAGTCGTACCTGTTGACAGTATGCTAAATCTGGACATCATCTCTTCATAAAAATCACTTCCATTCATGGTGAAGGCAGATGACTGAGCAATGAAAGTTTTTTGAAGACAGGACAAATCCTAATCACATCAAAATAATATTATTACATTGCAGACAAACAGGAAGAATTTTATCATTTTTTGTTTCCAAACTTATGTTTTCTGTCACTTACAAATAAATAAAGTTATAAGTAAAGTTGCTATTTGTTACACAAGGTTGTTGTCCATAACTTCCACAGAAGGGTTTTTGTTTAAACCCCATCCTTCCAGAAGTTTAATTTTAAACATTGATTTGTGGTTGTTTATATTCAGTTCAGGATGTGGATTGGAGGAATCCAAAATGTCAGAAATTTTTCCAATAGTCTCATCTAAACATGAACAGGTACTGCTTACAGTCTCAGCTTAGTGTGTGCAAACCTGCCAGGATACTTTAATCCAACAAACAATTCAAAATGACTCAAATAGCTGTAACAGTACTAATAAGACACATTAATGACAGGAATAATTATGTATCATTAAAAAATATAATTATAGTAATTTTTCAAGAAACATGAAGGAGTGAAAGTTTGGAGAGAGTTTGTTGTTGAATCATACACAAAAAGGTAGTGACAAAGGAGCTCTAACCTTCCACCTCCATTTTATGTAACCCTTGTTAATTTAAGATCTCAGTCCGAGTGCTAGTTCAATAAAGCACCTGGGCCGGGTTGTTCAAAGCCCGATTAAGCTAACCCAGGATTAGCGAGAATTTTGATTTCAGTTTTGTAACTTTTGGGTGCTGTTTTCTATTTATATTGTTTGTTATCCAGGTTTGAGTTTGAAAAATCTCAAACTACACAAAACATGAGCAATGAAAAACATTTTTATACAAGAAAAACAGATACTTCGATTAACTTTTAATCCTGGGTTAGCGTTAACCGGCTTTCGAACAACCCGGGCCAG